ACTTTAGCTTAAAAAGGCCAAGGTCTCCCACTGCATCCTGGACCATCTCCAGGCATCCTGATCTATTTCTTGCCACTGGACCCAGATGGCTACAGAGGAGAAAAGTGAGGCTGGCGACTTTGCACAGCCCTGCCTCACTTAAATCCAATTCACCTCCAAGTCATGGCATCACCTTCCTGACATCATAGTCCTCTTCAAGAACGAAGGACAATCAATAATTTCTGATTCTCTCAGGACTTTGGCACCGTTGCCATGAGGGTGCCTTTCCCTCAAATTCTTTAACTCCCTTTTGTGGGTTCATTTCAATGTAAGCATCTTGAGGGCAGGAATTGGTTTTTGGCTTTTTGTTTTGGATTTGTATCCCCAGTGCTCAAGCACATGAGGAAGACAGGTTCAAATCCAACTTCAGACACTGACCCTGAGGCAAGTCATTTCAGTCATTTCTGACTCTTCATGACCCCATTTGGAGTTTTCTTGGCAGAGATACTGGTGCGGTTTGCCATTTCCTTCTCCAGCTCATTTTACAAAGGAGGAAACTGAGGCAAACAGGGTCAAACTGATTTGCCCAGGGTCACCCTGCTAGTAAGTGTCTGAGGCAAGATTTGAACTCCAGACCCAGTCCTCTGTCCACTTCACCACCTGCCTCAAATTGCCTCAGTTTCCTCATCTACAAAGTAATAATAGCACTAACCTCCCAGGGTTGTTGTGAGGATAAAATGAGATAATAATTGCAAAGGGCTAAGCACAGTGTCTGGCACAGAGCAGGCACTACATGAATGCTTAGTTCCTTCCCTTTAAGCACTACACATCAGTTTCTATTATCACAGTAACTGGCACACAGTAAGCACTTAATAAATGCTTGGTGTCTGCCTGCCGGTCTCACCAATGTGACCCCGACTTCCCTTTCTAATCTGACCTCTTCTTCCTCACCCAAAGTAACTTCCTCAAACTGGTCCACAACCCGGCTCTCCGGTTCCCACCTCTGCACCATGATCAGCACCCATCCCTCTCCTTTGAATGACCTCCTCTCATCTTTTCTACTAACCAGCCTTCAGGGCCCATCAAGTCCCACTTCCTAAAGACAGATCTCCCAGCTTCCTGAGCTCTTCCTCCACTGAACTCTCACAGCATTCAGCATCTGCACCACTGGTCTTAGTAAAAACAAGCTCCCTTGTGGCACCTATTGTCGTCATGCACTGTAATTTAACTCTTTGGAGTTATTTATTATTCAAAGCATTGCTACAACTAGGCAGAATCCCTTCAAAAGAACAGCGAATTTACATTAGCAAACACTCAGCAGCGCACACAGATACAATTTCCTCTAGAGTGGGGCCTTCGATGCTGTTTTGTGTTACTTGCAATACCTTGCACAATGCTAGCTACCTACCTAGGCGGTGATCAAACAGAATGTGCTGACTACTTAGATGACTGTGCACACTACAGTTTTCATCCAGGAAGGTCAAAAAGCCTTTCACAGGCCTCTGTAAATCCTTTCACACACACTCACCACCTTACTAAGGACACCCCTAAGCTCACACAGCCAGGAGAGGGCCCAGCAGGACTGCACTAGAGTTCTGAATTTAGCTAGGTAAGATCAAGTTTCTAGTCCCAGGTCCAATACCTGATGGCCCTGTGACCTTGGGGAAGTATCCCTTGACTGTTCTGATGTTTGAGTTTAACTATAAATGAGGTGGTCATCCCTTCGAGGCCTCCTTTATCACAGGGGCAGTTGCGAGGTCATCAGATGAAGGAACAGGCAGAAGGCCCAACAGATGAGTGCATCTCCTCCTAGGCTCCCAGTAGTGGACGTCCAGCCTGACGACCACCTAGGGCAGCTGGAGGGCTTGAGGAAAAGGCAGGCCCTTCACTCTGAACACAGCGAGCTGCGGCAGGGGCCCCAGAAGACCTCTCCAGAGGACCCCCCCCACAAAGGGCAGCGTAGGATTTGAATTGAGAAAATCAGATGAGGTCAGATCAGGTAACAGCTTCCTTGGACAAGCAGTTGAAATCCAGATCATGAGAAGTAAGGTCCTTTTATCTGTGCAGTTGCACCAGAGAAAAGAGCTGGCCCAGAGACAAATAACACCCTATACAGGTGAGGCAATCTAGCCTCTGACCAGGACAGAGAAAAAACATCTTTCCACTCAATCCCTGGCCTCACTAACAATCCGACCTCCAGTCCCCATCTCACTCCTGGACTTCCAGATTTAGGGGAACTAAGGAAAATACCCAATATCCTCCTCCTTTCTCCATACCATCCCACAGCAGTCCATATAATAATAATAGCTAACATTTATATATCACCTACTATTTGCCAGGTACTGTGCTAAGTAAGCACTTTACAAATATCTCATTTCACAAATATCACAACCATCCTGGGAGGTAGATGCCATTATCACCGCCATTTTACAGCTGAGAAAACTGAGGCAGAGACTAAGCGACTTGCCCAGGGTCATACAGCTTAGTGCCTGAGGCTGGTTTTGAAATCAGGTCTCTATCCACTGAGCCACTTAGTCACCTCATACTGATGGAAATCAAGGAACACTGGAGGCCACAACAGCTGGGTCTTGCAATCCAGACTCTCGCTGCTCCAGGAAACTGCCCCATGTTTATCTATGCCTCTATAAAAAAGGAGTGAGTGCCTGTTTGCTCAGCCCTGAAGCACCTGGGTCAGGGAGGCTTTTCTCCCTCCAGATGGCCAGGGGTGAGGCTGAGACCCAACACGTGGGGGGGGGGGGAATAGTCCCCAACTTCTTCTACCAGATGTGGGGAGGGAGCAACAGAAAGCCTGGGGTTGAGGGGCCACTTCAGGAGTCAGCAAGCTTGAGCCATGGAAGAACGGAGAAGTCCCTGAGGAGCTACAGCTGTTTGCCAAGAAGCTAATTGGGGAGAGAAGCAGCCTGCTTAAGCCCAAGCTCAGGTGAGTGTCCCATTGGGAATTCTCTGGGCCTTGGAACCACTGCAGCTCAGCTCAGGAACCCCAGGAAGCTTAGTCCCCTGCTGCAGAAGGAGCTGATGGCAATGACCATTGGCGGGAGTCGTCCACGTGGAGTGGGTCCTTGCACAAGCCAAACAGAATGATGCCTTTGGCACCAAGAGACCCTGCTCTTCCGGGGCCCTGGCCCTCAGAGCAACAGAACAGCAATGGTGGTGAGGATGTTGACCTGTTCGGGTCCGTAAAGGCAAGCACGGCAATGGTTACTCATCCCTCGGGGGTCTGGAGACAGCGGGCTCCTTCCCTGAGCCCTCCACTCAGTCACTTCAGCTATAGGGGCTCCAATTTCACATACATCCCCTACTCTCCAGCCCCACGTTCCTGTCACCACTCTGCATCCAAGATGAGCTGACCCATCCCGGGCAGAGGAGATGGGGGAGCAGGGAGATGGGGGAGCAGAGAGATAGGCACAGGGAAGAGACTGAGCTCTCCCTATATCCTAGGAAGGTGGGGAGAGGGGAGTAAGGCCAGTGTTTCATCCGTTCATCAACAGAGGAAGCTTTTCGAGAAGTGGGGTGGGAAGAAAACTGGGGAATTTCTTGCTTGTTAACTCTGCATTTCAAAGCCAGATAAAAAACAAAAAATTGAAAGGGATAAGATTCTATAAAAGGGTTTGGATTTCTTTCCCAACCTCCAACTTCCTTTTGCTTCTGGTTCCATCTAGTTGAAAAGTAAGCACAGCTGACCTTCCATTACCTGCAGAGACAGATGATTCAAAAACCAAAGGCAATCCCAAAACAGTAACTTGAGAGTGATTTAGAGATGTGCAATAGGATTAATTTTAAAGAACACATTTCCCTCTCCTCCTCTTCCTCCACCAACCGGATCCAGCCAAACTGGATGCTCCACTAACTCAACCTTCCACTCCACCTCCTACCCCTCCATACTGCAGCCTCAGCCACAGCTTTGAGGCCCCCACATCTTTGAATACACACCCCCAACCCCCTACCCTACGTGGAGGGTCAGTCTCCTCCAGGAAATCTTTTCTGGCCCTTCTCTCAACTGGTCAAGGTCTTTCCAACCTCAAATCACCCTGTCTTTTGCTTACTTTATCAACATAAGGTACAGCCCATTAGCATATCAGCTCCCGGAGAACTGTTTGTCTTTGTATCTTGAACCCTAGCACCTAAAGCCCTGGATTCAAAGGATCCAGGTTAGAGTTACAGCTCTGACACTAGCTCCCACACTAAGCTCGCTGGGCACCAGTTTCCTTAAGTGAAAAATCAGGGGGTTGGACTAGAAGATCCATGAGGTCCCTTCTGACTCTAAAATCTGTGGTCCTGCTAAAAAAATTAGTGTCTTTAAGAGATATCAAAATAAAAGTAAATCTCTGAGCTGAGTGAATAAACAGCACAAAACGACGACTGGTGGAAGAGCATTTTCGGTTAGATCACAGGACCACCCCCCACCTCTGGGTCTCAGCTTCCTCACGTGCACAAGGAGGAATGGGTCTGGATTCTAGATGAGATCTAAAGTCCTTTCCAAAGCTCTAAAGCTACGGAGAGCTCACACTTAGTCAGTCAACAAGGTTTTACAGGCGCCTACTGTGTGCTCGGCATCTCACCAAACTCGGGGGACACAAAGAAACAGAAGGGACGGTGCCTGATCTCTGCCCAACGGGGGCCAGCCGTGTGCAGGGGAGAACCCCAGGGCGGGTCAGAGGATGGAGAGGGGATGGGCCCTGAGGGGAGGGAGTGAGCTCCCCATAGCCAAAGGTCTTCAAGTGACCCCTCCTCGGGGCAGGGGCGAGACGCTGACCTCCAAGGTCCCTCCTCCAGCCCAGAGAGTCGGTGACCCCGTGACCCCCCGACGGTCAGTCCGTGACCCGGGTTCCCTCCAGCCCCCCACAAATCCGACTGTCCGTGACTAGAAAGTAAGCTCCCCGTCGCCAGAGAGCTCCTACCAGGACTCCTCCAGCCCGGACAGCCCGTGACACGGTAACCCACGAGCCCCCTGCCCCCCCGGCCAAGTCCGGGCCGCCCCACGCTGGGCGCGCGTCACTCACCGCACAGAGCCCCGAGACGCCCAGAAGCAAAGTCCGCGACACCGTCAACGGAAGCCCACACAGGCGGCCGCCATGTTTCTTGAGGGAAGGGGCGGGGAGGCACGAGCAGCCGCAGTCTCGTACTGCCTATAGCGCCCGCGCGCCGCCATTTTTCCTCCGGGCGGAAGAGACCAAGATGACGTAGCCCCTCTCACGTGCCAGGGGCGGCGGAAACTACCTGCATCACATGACACCCGGGCCAGTCCCAACCCCGCCCCTCAGCTCTGCCACCTCAGCGCCCTCGGCTGGAGGCACGCCTCCGCCGGCCTCCTTACGAGTCTGCGCGCCCGCCCCTCTCACTTTCTCCTCGGCAGCCGAGAGGGGAGAGCGCCGCCCACGGGAGCGAGGCGCGTCACGGTCCTGGATGACAGGCGCTGCGGGAGGCCGTCTCGCGCACGCGCAATAGCGACGCCCGCTCCCCCCGCCCCCAGCCCCTGCCCGCCGGACGCCCCCTCCTCGGAGCAGGCCGCGGAGGTCGGCGGAGAGGAGGTGCGCGCGCAGCCCCGCGTGCGGCAGGGCGCGATGAACCTGCCGCGGCTCGTGTGCCGGCACCGCACGGCGCTGGCCCTGGCCGGCCTGACGCTGTTTGCAGGCGCGCTGCTCTGGCTGGCCAGGTGCGCGCCCGAGGGACCGGCAGGGGGCGGGCGCGTGGCCGCCACGGCGCATGCGCCGGCCGTAGCGGGCGAGCCCGCGGAGCGCGCGTTTCTGGCCGTGCTGGTGGTGAGTGCGCCTGCGGGCGCCGAGCGGCGGAGCGCGGTCCGCGGCACGTGGCTGGCGGGCGCCGGGCGGCCCGGGCCGCTGGCCGACGTGTGGGCGCGCTTCGTGGTGGGCACGGCTGGGCTGGAGGCCGCCGAGCGGCGCGCGCTGGAGCGGGAGCAGGCGCGCCACGGCGACCTGCTTCTGCTGCCGCACCTGCGCGACGGCTACGAGAACCTGACGGCCAAGGTGCTGGCCATGTTCGCGTGGCTCGACGAGCGCGTGGCCTTCGACTTCGTGCTCAAGGCCGACGACGACACGTTCGCGCGCCTGGGCGCCCTGCGCGACGAGCTGCGCGCGCGCGAGCCGGAGCGGCGCCGCCGCCTCTACTGGGGCTTCTTCTCGGGGCGCGGGCGCGTGCAGGCGGGCGGGCGCTGGCGCGAGGCCGCCTGGCTACTCTGCGACCACTACCTGCCCTACGCGCTGGGCGGCGGCTACGTGCTCTCGGCCGACCTGGTGCGCTTCGTGAGCCGCAGCCGCGACGTGCTACAGCGCTGGCGCAGCGAGGACGTGTCGCTGGGCGCCTGGCTGGCGCCCCTCGACGTGCGCCGCGAGCACGACCCGCGCTTCGACACCGAGTACCGCTCGCGCGGCTGCAGCGACCAGTACCTGGTGACGCACAAGCAGAGCCCCGATGACATGCGCGCCAAGCAGCGCAGCCTGGCCCGCGACGGCCGCCTGTGCCCGCAGGAGGTGCGCCTGCGCCTCTCCTACATCTACGACTGGGACGTGCCGCCGTCGCAGTGCTGCCGGCGCCGCGAGGGCATCCCCTGAGCCGCCCCGACGTGCGCGGAGCGGACGGAGGAGGCTGGGCGGCGGCGGCTGCAGTTGCGGGACCAGGACCAGGACCAGGACCAGGACCACGCGCCGAGGCAGCTCCCCGCCCCCCCCCACGGGGCGCGCGGGCTGCCGTCCGACGTCCCCCCGGAGCGCGCAGAGCCTTCCCGACTCCAGCTCACGTTGCGCCGAAGCCGCGTCTGGAGCCAGCAGCAGCCCCTGAGCGGCCCAGACCGCGAGAGAGAGACGCCGGCTTGGGTGTTTGCGCGGGAAGATGTGGTGGATTATCCGTCATCTCCTGGGTTTACTTATTGAAAGTCGCACGCGGTGGTCACATGACCTCTTCTCCTCCTCATTCTGAGCCAGGCCAGCCTCCCCAGCCCCGTTGCCTAGGAAGGGAGACAAACTTCAAAATACCAGTAACCAAAATGGACCTCTGTTTTAGTGATTTATGCCAAAGGAATCAAGAGTGTATATATTCTAGGGTGGGACTGAATAAATTTTCCTCATCTCATTCTAAACAAAACTGAGGCTTGGAGGGGAAAAAAAATATTTTAATGACTGAAAAGGAAATCACTTTTCGACCCCTTTTACGCCGTGCAGTAAAAAAGTATTCTTGCCAAGGCAATTGTAACTCCCCTTAATCTGTTGTTTTGCATCTGACTTGTTGTAGCAGGTAAAACTTCAGTTTGGATTTTATTTTGGAGTGACAATATTTAACGAGCCGTTGGTGGGTATGTCCCTGGGGGAAGGCAGTACTGTAAATACAGGTCAGTGTTTAACTGTGATATATTTATAAATACTATAAATATGTATAGTGAGGAGCTTAAGCAGAGTGTGAGGTTCCCAGTATTTGAATAGTATTTAATGAAAAGTCTTTTTATTCTTCAGCTGTCTTAACAAGACTTCAAATTCACGGGGGTACAGTTTGTTTTTAGGTTAGGAGTTTTATAATCCCAATTTGCTCCACGTCCATTTAAATTGGCAAGAATGTGGGAACCATCCGTTTATCTTAACCGTTTACATGTGTCTTCTGTTAGAGGCTCTCCTTTTAAGGCTCCCTTGATGGAGTGAATAGTTGCGACTTCCTCTGAACAGGCACTGAGAAGGACTTCTATCTCTTTTCCACATTCACTTTTATTCTTGTAGCTCGTGGGCAGACATGTAGATGAGAATCTGAATTCTTTATCGTGGGTCTGAGGTTCTCTTAATGCCGGAAAGACCCTTTTCCCATTGCGATATTACCTTTGAACAACAGAGAAAGTGGTTCCTAGGAGGTGACCCTGGCCAGTGGTCTAAGGTGCCTTTTTCTTTTTCTCTGGCAAATGGGAAAAATGAACTCTACTCCTTGTAATTAAAATAAGGCAAACCTTGGCTTTGTCAACCCACTGCCAAACCTATTTGAACTGTGTTATTTAACTATATTTTTTGCTTTGTGTTTTATACTACCTGAGAAATTTATTAATTACTAAACTTGGTATAACCCAAGTTTAAGTCATTTCATTTTGAAACAAATATTGGGAATCATGAGGATTCTAAAACAATCACAATGTTGTCTTAAGATTTCAAGTTTTATTTTTTCTTCATAAAAGAAAGAGAATGATGTAAAGATTTGCAAAACCCTCTTTTCCAGTAGAGCAAATGGTACGGCCTGGGACCAGTGATCGGGATGGCCATGGGCAAATGACCTTACCTCTCTGGACCTCGTTTTCCCCATTTGTAAAATGAGAGGTGTTGTGTCCAAAGTATGAAAGCTGGAAGCTCCAAAAGTCTAGGAGAAGCATTCATTGGGTCTTCCCGAAGCAAGGCCTGCCTTGTTCGGTTCTCCTCCAGATTGGCTGATTGCCTTTCTGATGAGGTTACTCAGGGATTTCCCTGTTCAGTGCCTGAGAGCTACTGAAGATAGGTCATGATGTCGACGTGACTGCTAAAGACAAAGTGTCTGTTGAAATGATCAGCCCATAGTCTATGTCACTGGTCACATCTGAGACTGTGTTAAGGTACAAAGGAACGTGACCATCAATCAGCCTAGATGTAGACCTTCTTCACTACCAAGACTGTTTGTTTGAAATAAGTGTGATAGAATAAAAGGGGGAAAGCCTTTCTCATTCATTTCCTAAGGCCCATTGGCTGTGCATCACCCTTCTCACTATACTGGAGCTAGGGACAGGGACTGAATCTGTGGCTGTGGTGGAATGTGGAGCCCCACTGAGCAGCTTCGTCTACAAGGGCCATTCTTGGCCCTACCTAGAATACCGAGAGTTAAGGAACGCAAATTGCCCAGGCTCCCAAAGCCAGTGTTGAGTCTTGAACCCAGGCCTTCGTGATATAGAAATTTTATGTGTGTGTGTGTGTATACACACATACACAGAGATATAGGTTGGGTGGTTTTTTTCTTGCAGTGTAAGTCCTTTTAGGGTTACCAAATACCAGATATTTGGTTGGCTGTTACAAGAACATTAAACATAAAACAGCAAGCATCCAGATGGCAGGAATATTATTCCATTTATGTATGTATGTATGTATATATATATATTTCTTTTTTTTACAAAGATCATGCTTTAAAATACAGTATCCATTGTAAACACTCCTTAGCACTTAACCACCAGCGCCTCTGTATTTTAACTGCTCTCAGTGACTTTTTGCTGGGCACGTACAAATGATCCGACCCCATTTGTCGGATCTGCTACAGTCCCTATTTCCTTCCTCCTGTCCTTGTTTTGCAGAAAAGGTTTTTAGAGTGAGGACAATGACTTAAAAGCACTGTATCAGGATCGTTTCGTTGATAATGACCAACATTTGTATGACCCTTCAGTGACTTGCTTTGACTTTGAGCCACACCTTAACCTGTGAGGGTGGTGGGCTCTCCACTTTATAAACAAACACATTGAGGGAAACAAGCCCCCTCATTCAAGGCCATCCCCCAGACTCGGTGTCAAAGGCAGGATTTGGAGGAGGTGAGGTGGATAGAGCACTGGCCCTGGAGTCGGGGAGGACCCAAGTTCAAATTCGGCCTCAGACACTTAAAACTTACTAGCTGTGTGACCCTGGGCAAGTCACCTAGCCAATATAGCCTAGCCCCACCTCAAAAAAAACAGGATTTGAACTCAGGTGACCCCTTCCTATGGACCAGAATGTTGCCTCAGTTTGAATTTAAATGTCTTTTTTTTTACCTTGAGAATTTAAAAGCCTATTAAAGTTTTACCTTTGGCCTTTTGTGTGAGCAGCTTTAATATTCCACTCACACTGGCACATGTATTGAACTATACAGACTGGAAAGCTGGCCATTTTAAAATGCTCTCAATAGTGGCTGATTTGATGAAGGGTCTAGGGCAGGGGTGGGGAATCTTCAGCATCAAGGCCACATGTGGCCCTGTAGGTCATGTGCAGCCAAATGAGGACTGCATGTGGCCTCGAGACTGCAGGTTCCCCATCCCTGGGCTGGGGAAAGGAATGCTCATTTATACAGCACCTACTTTGTGCTTTACACGTATTATTTGATCACACCACCCTAGGCGGTAGGTGCTGTTATTATACCCATTTTACAGATTGAGGAAATTGAGCTGGATGGATGAATGGCTTTGCCCGGGGTCACACAGCTTGTAAGTGTTATATTTGAACTCAGATCTTCCCCTCCGAGCCCAAAACTGTGTTCTGTGGCACCGCCTAGCTGCTGTGGTGAGTTCCTTGTCTGCGTTTTCTGGTTAACATTGTTAAGGTTAGTTGACTGGCCCAATTCAAGCATTTCTTAAGCAGTCCTGTATGAGGACACTGGAACATAAGGGCAAAAACTGAAAAGAGCACCTGCCCTCAAGGGGTTTACATTCTGCTGAGGGGAATATAAGCAGTAGTACACAAGTAAATAAAAAGTAATTTTAGGAATGGTTCAGCAAGCATTTTTAAGCACCTACTACTACTAGCTAGAGTGTGTGTATACACACACACACATAATATTCCTCATTTTATGGATGAGGAAACTGAAGCCAGCAGAGGTTAAATGACTTGCCCAGGGTCACACAGCTAGGAAGTATCTGAGTCTGGATCTGACCACAGGTCTCCCTTGCTACATACTCCTCAATGTCACTGGCCTCCTGGCTGTTCCTGGAACAAGGTACTCCACCTCTCAGCTCCAGGCCTTTTCTCTGGCTGGCCCCCAAGCCTAGAAAGCCCTCCCTCTGCACTGCCTGTTGACCTTCCTAGCTTCCTTTAAGACCCACGTCTACATCCCACCTTGTACTGGAAGCGTTTCTCAACCCCCTCTTAATGCTAATACTTTCCTTCTGTTAACTATTTCTAATTTATCTTGTATACAGCTTGTTTGTATATTTTTGTTGTCTCCCCCCTTAGATTGTGAGCTTCTTGTGGGCAAGGGACTGTCTTTTGTCTCTTCTTATATCTTTATATGCACATAGTAGGTACTTAATAAATGTTTGTTGATTGACTCCAGACCTAGCTGCCCAGCACTGTGCTAAGTGCTGAGTACAAAACAGCCCCTGCCTTTCTAGTAATAAATACAGAATTAGACCCACAAACCCCCCACCCAAAAAAAGCAGAGAACTAATTCAGGAAAATAAATTAGGGTTTCTATAGAAAGTTACCATCCCCTAGAAAGAAAGAAGGGAAGAGTGGAGTTAGCTAAAATCCTTCCACAAAACAAGGCTTCCCTGAACGGGTTGGGTTCCCACTCTCCTGGAATCAGCACCTCGGGGGAGGGCTGGGTTTTACAAAATGTAATTGCCAATATGGGGGAGGGGCATTTTGGTTGTTAATGAAAAGTCCATGGTTTGGAAGCGCTCGGGCCAAGTTAGATGTGGTGACTCAGATGCTCAGGTCTGAGTGTGACATTTATAGTAGGTCTGTATACTATATTTATGGTCTTCCAGAGGTGGAACCAAGACATAGAGCCTCTAAGTTTCACTGGCCAGCAAAACCTCAATGCTCTTCATTTCCTAATTTAGCCCCTGATTGTGGCTGTTCCAACCCAAGCATGGGGCTCG